TCTGAGCCCCGGGGGCAGGCAGCAGCTAGTTGCCGTCCTGCTCTGGCAGCCTCGCACGCTGAGGCGGGCGGGCAGAGAAGGGCTTCGCCTTGGGGCCGTTGGGGAGGCTGGGAGGTTGGGTGCTTTGTACCTAGACAAGAAAATTCACCTCTGCAAAGGCTTATGAATTATTTATAATTTCCTTAAAGAGAAAACCAAACAGAAGGTTGTCATATCCTTAAGGGCTTTGTGAGTACTCAAATGAGTGTACACAGAATGTTCTAAGTGCGGGTTTCAGAAAATGCCCATGCCACAGGCTCCACAGAGCCATGCCTGCGTTAGTCACCAGAATCGCTCCCTCTCACGCCTGGGATTATTGCTGATAAGAGCAGTGCCCTGAGGAAACAATCTATAGCATTTCATACCAAGGCCATCATCAAAGCAGAAAGCCTTCACCTTTTGGTAACCTAGTGATAAGACTGTGGTTCCCGAAGCACCACATGGAGAAAAGCGACAGCATGAATATCACATAGAAGGAAGGAAAGGCTGCCTGTCTCAGGCTTGGCAGTATCTGTGTTTTCTAAGCTTCCTTGAAGCAGCTTTAGGCTTTGCTTTTGGTATCTAACGCATCACAGTCCTTAAAAGGTCCTTGCTTACTACCTAGAAATGTTCGGAAACACGGCAAACAACATTCAAAGCAATGTTTCCCCTGCAGACGTTCCTGCCAGCACCTGGCAGGCATCTGCTCCTTTCCCATCTAGGAGAGTGCTGCTTAAATTCACAATGCCAGGCTAACAAGATTTATCCGTTCAGCTCGGCAGCGCGCTGCTGGCCAGGCAGGGGCCTGAAGCCAGCGTAGCGGGGGGGGGGGTTCGAGGCAGGGCGGTTCCAAAGGGTAACTTCCACGCGCTGGGTGCAGTTTAATTTGCTCCCAGCACTCATCTCAGTAAGTGCTGCTGTCAGGAGGACCTCAACTGTCCGTGTGTGCACGCAAGTGCTAATGGCTTCGTGGACAAGCGAGCATGTTCCCCAATCTAATTAAAAGAAAGCTTTTTTTGCCAACTGTTTAGACCTCATAATTCCAGCGCATATAATCAGATTTCAAGACCCTCTATAGATTAAACTGTCTGGAGACTGAATCAGGGCAATCTAAATTTATGCCTGAAAATTAGTCTTACTCATTCCCATCTGCCACAGTGGAAAACCGAGAGTCTGTTTCATGAGGTAAAGCTCTTCCACCTCACCGGAGCAGGTGCTGGCGGGGCAGCACCACGTTGCTTTTAGCATTAGGATTTTTCTCGCTGGAGAGAGAGAACAGAACTTGTAGTTTAGGATAGCGGTACAAAGTATTCCTTTCAACAGATGACATGCCTGTCTATATTCAAGACAGAATGTTAAGAAGCAAAGATCATTCTTATTATACAACATTAATTTATTTTCTAGGAAGACAAATAAAAGGAACTATCAGTACTGTAAGCTGTGTCCAACTCACGCTCTTACGGAAGATGTTCACCATCTTTCTTGTGTAATCTCCAGCCATTCAGCAATTTTATCGAACCTTCTTCTGCTACAATAAAGTCTAAATATGTTTTATCTCTTTAAACTAGGATCAATAACTCTGTTATCGAAACACTGCTTCCCCGAAGGAGGCCAAATACTTAAACCAGACAAACAGTAAAATCCTCGTTCCCTGGAGTGAAATTTCACCCCATGAAATCCAAGTAGAGATCAGGATCGTGGGAAGTCATCTGCACGTAGATTCGTCGGGAGACTTCTGGCCCGATCCGCCGGGAAGTGGCTGTCACGCCGTCACCGCGGTGCACAGCGATGTTAGCCAGCATGTTCTCCCGCTCCTGCTCCGAGGAGCATCTGCTATAGGCCTAAAAGGAACAACGGTATCATCCATTTGCATCCGTGGCTCAAAAAAATAATCAAAGCTATGCACCTGTGGCTGCTCTACCCTTTCACAACGCACACTCATTTTTCACCTGTTCTGTCCCCAGATCTCACTCTTAGAGGCCGATGCAGAACCAATACTGCTCCCTCAGTAGTCAGCTCTGTAAAGCCAGAGCAAGGGGTGCCAAGCAATCAGTTCCTTCACTGCCTTACTAAACAGCTCACACAGAATCATTGTGTCAAATCTAATATCAACTAGATGATTTTTTCCACTCCTTACACTGGTCCACTGTCTGCACACAATGCTCGCTGTTCCCGAGGCACCCTTACCTGGTTCAGAAGCTGAGGAGACGGGTACGCAGACACAATAGCCTCAGCCATCTCGAAGCTGACCCGGTTAAATTGTTGTATCTGCCTCTTCCAAACTTCCAAAAGACCCTTGCCGGAACGATCGACTTTCACCCCTCTGCAATACCCCTCTAAGTAGAAGGAGAACCCCGTCTTCTCTCGCTCTCGCCTACGGAGAACAAAGGATGGGAAAGAAAATCATACAATGAGGCTATGAAGAAAATCCTGTCCCTGCATCTGTTGTCACATAGCCAGAGACAGAGAACCATTTCTCACCCGGTGCTGTTATAGACACCGCTGGCATCAAAACAAATGCTAAAAATTCGACCCTATTTGCTTTACGTGCATTACCAATCTCCTTGTTTAAGACCCAGATTTCCTACTGAAAAGAAACAATCCTGTATTTGGGAGCAATCCTGACACACGCCAACGTGCATACAAAGTGGTAAACAAGAATTCACTTTCTGTCAACCATAATAAAACACTTTTACATGTCATTTTTAACGACACCTCATTTCTTCTCGTGGCTGAGGTGTAAAACACAGCAGCTGCTGTGATAAGAATGCTAGGATTGTGTGAGACTGCACAAGATGGCTTTCTCAGCTATCGCTGTGCAACATGCTGCTGTCCTTCCTCATCAATGGCAACAGCAAAATGGTTCACTCTCAGTAACATCTCTCTTTGTTGCATACTGAAGAAGAAAAGCTGGTGCTGTAAGAGCCCAGTGCTACTGGCATTCCCTCCCCACTCCTAAAACCAGAGCTTTCCTTGACGTCAAGACCCCAGCATGAAACCAGGGTCTGTGCTCACCCCTCCCCTGGCAGGACACCAGTCTCCAAGACCTAACACTCTGTTGAAGGAGCTGCCTTAGCAGCTGCTCTGTCACCTGCTCCTTTAAAAATCATTATACTGAGGTATAGCCGCATACCTGCTGTTCCCTCCCAGCAGCTGTGAAAGCGCAGCCCCTCCAAAGATATGACCCAACCTCCTCTGCTTACTCACTTGAACGGTGCTTCAGCTACAGCTTTTGTGAACATGGTGGCATACTCTCCAAGCTCCTCCCAGCTCTCATAAAAGCCGACTGGAACTTGTTTGCTCAGCTGCAGATCCACCAAGGCCTGTAAACATCATTGGAAACAATAAATGGAACAATTCATCTTCTCACATCAAACCCCACTCTCGTCTGAAACGAAAAAAGGGTCATAACAACTTGCTATAAGACAAGAACACCCGCTCTCTCCCCATTTTGAGAAAGGTTAATTCAAGGCAGCCTGTCTCCTGCCAGTTAATATCAGTTTAGCGCCATTTCAGCTGCCGCAGCTCCTCAGTACCAGGCTCTCATTACACGCAGGCCACCCTGCCCGGAGCAGCACTGATGTGCTTTGCCAGCAGGCCACGACGGGCGAGAGAAGCTAACCGAGGCTGACATCAGAACCAAGGTGAACGAGATATGTCAGCCCGTGGGACAGCAGGCACGTACCCGAGCAGTGGGGAACTGCACCCAAAGAGCTCTGTCCACAGACACATGGACTAGTGTATGACTGGGTCAAATGATCAAACAACGGCTTACAAGAGACGATCGCTGCGTGCCTGTTTTAAAGGTACTCACTTCTTCCACGTCCATTCTGGTTATCTCCAGGCCAGAATCCTTAACTTTCTTGTTTCTCCGTTTTCCCTGTTCCTCTTCTTGGTTTCCACTTGCTGCTGCCTGTCGCAATCTGTTTTTTGACTGAACTCCGAGAGACCTAAGAAGAGCAAAGACTGGGAGTTCACGTTCTTCCCCAGGTATTTGCCATTGGTCACTGTGGTGACAGGCTGGATGGACCTTTCCTTCTGTTTCTATATAACAAAGAGTGGAGCAGCTCTGGGTGGGAACACCTCTTACCCTCCAGTCTTTGCTAGAAGGAATTAATGTAATCACCTACGGTACTTTTCAAGGCCAGAGACAACAGAAACGTTTGGAGGGAAGAAAGTTTAACCTGAAATAATTTTCTACTTCAGCTACTGCCAGTGCCAGAATTTTCCCAGGCATTTTCTCCATCACATAAGCTACAAAGCTCTGCAGGGTCTCCTCCTGTCCTTCTTTGCAGCCCTGGGACTCCTGCAATGATCAACAGAAGAAAGGAGTTAAACTATTCTGAGTTATACACACAAGCCCAGCAATCTATGCTCCGATTCTGCAGCTGGGTCTGCAGATGAAAAAATCTGTTCACACAGCTCTAAAGGGGCAAGCAAGCAATACTTGGTTAGTATAAAGTTATGGCAGAAAGAAATAAAAAATTAAAATTAAAAAAAAAAATAATCCCACTTCATCTGACAAAGTTATCTCTTAAAAAAATTCTGAAAAATTGTAACTAGGAAAGACAGCTTGTCAGAACTTTGCATTATACAACCCCATTGTGTTTGATTCATTAATGGCTTCTAAAACCAGATTTCTGGTTGACGGAAACCATGGCTCCATGCCACATCAAAACCTTCCTGCCATGACAGGGTGTTTGTCAGCATGAGGGACGACAAACACCACCCTCACAGCAAGGCATGTTCGAGCACAAAAGTCGTAAGCATTCTCACTTGTTTGTAGTTGCGAACCATGGACAAAAACTCCTCCAGGCGAAGCAGAATCAGGACATTTTGTTCTTCTGTCCATTCATCTCCTTCTTCCAACTGTCCAGAAACGAAAACAAACAGCTAGACCAACAGTCTGTTTATAATTGACTCACTCAAACTGCTGCTCCCACTCAGACCTCTGAGGCAGGGAGAAGATTAGAGGGTGTTTACTTGGGTTGCTAAATACAGTTACTAATGAATGCAAATAACAGAGGAAGAAAAAGGGCAAGAACATCAAGATTTTGCTCGCACACCTGAGATGACACAGTCTTTCTCCTCCAGGTGATGCTGCAGGGAACAGCCTGACTCTCAACCACACAGGAATAATTCTTCGCCTGCAAAGCACTAAGGATCTGTTTGCCACCTTCTACCTGTAAAAGGACTGAAATCGGTGCACGGGTCAGGCCTCCACAGCAAGAACTGACAGTCAGTATAAGGCAGATGCAGGCTGTGAGGACAAGTACCTGGATCTAACACCACCGTTATGTATTTCTGGCACTCCCCTGGCCGCTGAGCTTTCAGCATCTTGGCAAGGGCCCTCTTCCTCTCTTTTTCCTGCTCCTGCTGCCTCCTCCCTGCTTCTTGCTTCTTCCTACTCTGCCACGCAGCCTGGGAGATTGCCTTGCTTTTCTTCTGACTGTATTTTGTCTTCTTGGGAGGGGCGGATGTTTCTGGGCTTGCACTGCCTGCCAGGGGCCTACCAGGCTGTCCTGCGGACTCGGGCTGAAAGGCTGGCAGTGGGCACAAGGCGGTCCTCTCAGCACCACACCTGCCATTTTGGCTGCCACAAGACACTTTTCCAGACGACGCCAGGGCTCCCCCGCAGGCCCCCCTGCGGCCATCCGCTGCCAGGTGCCAGCAGGTCAGCGCTAGCACAAAGGCCAGATCCGCCTTCTCCGTCCCCACTGCCCGTCTGGGGAGGCTCAAAAGCCGCCTGCCTCTTTGCTTCCACCCTCCTCTTGAGCCTCTCGGGCAGAGGGACGACGACGACCTCATCCTCCACCTCCTCCTCCTCCTCCTCCTCCTCCTCCT